CTCTCAGTGGTGGGATTCAAAAATTTTTTTTACTACCACTTCTGTGGGCGTGGCCTGGTGGGCGTGGCAGGGGAAGGATAGACTGCAAAATCCCCATTCCTTTCCCACCCCACTAACCTGCTTTTCAGCTCCGTTTTCCTGTGCAGGGCAACAACAGAAGACCCGGCCAAGTAGCTGCGGGCATGGCTTGATGGGTGTGTTCTGTGGGCGTGGCTTGGTGTGGCCTGGTGGGCGTGGCTTGGTGGGCATGGCAGGGGAAGAATACTGCAAAATCCCCATTCCCTCCCCAGCCCACTAACCTGCTTTCCAGCTCCGTTCTCCTGTGCAGGGCAACCAAAGAAGAGCCAGCCAATTAGCTGTGACCGTGGCTTGATGGGTGTATTCTGTGGGTGTGGCTTGGTGGGTGTGGCATGGCTTGGTGGGCATGGCAAGGGAAGGATACTGCAAAATTCCCCATTCCCTCCCAGCCCACTAACCTGCTTTCCAGCCCCGTTCTCCTGTGCAGGGCAACCAAAGAAGACCCAGCCAATCAGCTGGGACTCAATCGGAGGTAGAGGATAGATGGGGTTGGTGGGGCCAGTCAGAGGCGGCATTTGCTGGTTCTCTCAAAACTACTCAAAAGTTCTGCTACCAGTTCTCCAGAACCGGTCCGAACCGGCTGAATCCCACCTCTTCTCCCTCCCCTTTGAAACCCAGAGATAAGAGGGAGGGACACCCTTATCATGCTACTTTTTGCACATCTTTCATGGGGCAGTAGGTTTAATTTCCAGCAGAGACTAATAAACCCCGAATTAACTTCCAAGTCCTGCTCCCTAAGGCCACACAGGGGGAAATGAGACAGATAGTCCTCAATTTATGGACAACACTGAGGCCCCCCTCCCCAAGTTTAGGTCGTTAAGTGAGGCATTTTTGAGTTTTGCCACATTTTAGGAGCATTCCTTGCCCCCGTTGTTAAGCAAATCACTGCAGTTGTTGTTGCAAGTTAGTCCCCCCCCCCCGTTGTTAAGTGAATCTCACTTCTTCCCCCTTGAGTTTGCTGGACACACACACACACACGGGGCAACCATCATAAATATGAACCAGTTGGCCAAGCCTGTGAACTTTGATCACAATTGGGGGAGGCGGATGCTAGAAAGAGTCATAAAGTGTGAAAAAAAAAATGGTCAGAAGCCACTTTCATTCGGTGCTGTAGGGATTTTGGGACCATCGCTAAAAGGAGCCGTTGTAAGTCGAGGGCTGCCTGTTACAGCTTCATCCCTGGAGTCTCCCAAGTAGAAATTGGGCTGCCATCTATCAGAAACGGTGTAGGGTCTCCTGCTTGAGCGGGGGAGGGGGGTTGGACTAGATGACCTCGAAGGCCCCTTCCCACTCTTGGTATTCTATGACTCAATCCAAGGCACCTCGTCATTTTTTTCTGGCACTTTAGAGCAGGGAGTCACCAATAAATTCATAATTTTTAAACCCCTCGGACCACTGATATGACTTTTTTTTTTTTTTAAAGATAAATAGTATTTAGTGCAATATTTTAAAAAATGCAAATAGTTTTTCTGTGGACCACCAACATTTTCTCGCGGAGCACTGGTGGTCCACGGACCCCCAGTTGGTTACCACTGCCCTAGAGATCAAAGATTCTCCCTCCCCCCATCCTGTGCCTCTTAGGATACCGGGCATCAGATTGCAGGAGATTGACATGAAGCTGGGAAAGATTATTTTTCTTCTTCCCTGCCTGCCTCCACCTTCTTTTTCTCCTTTTTTAAAGAAGGAAAATCAACTTCTGTCTTCCTTCCTCCCTCCTTCTCTTCTTTCCTTTCCTCTCTCCCTCCTTTCCTTCCTTCCTTCCCCCTCCCTCCTTTCCTTCCTCCTTCCCTTCCTTCCTCCTTCCCTTCCTTCCTTCCTTCCTTCCTTCCTTCCTTCCTTCTTTCCTTCCCTCTCTCCCTCCTTTCCTTCCTTCCCCCTCCCTCCTTTCCTTCCTCCCTTCTTTCCTTCCTTCCTTCCTCCCTCCCTTCTTTCCTTCCTTCCCTCTCCCTTCTTTCTTTCCTTCCTTCCTTCCTTCCCTTCCTTCCTTCCTTCCTTCCCTCTCTCCCTCCTTTCCTCCCTCCCTTCTTTCCTTCCTCCCTCCCTCCTTCTCTTCTTTCCTTTCCTCTCTCCCTCCTTTCCTTCCTTCCTCCCTCCCTCCTTTCCTTCCTTCCTTCCCTCCCCCCTGCCTACCTTCCTTCTTTCCTTCCCTGGTACCCCCACAAAACAAGGCAGGCGGAGAAGCACTGGAATTGGGGTGACACCGAGGTCCCGGCCTCCTTTCCCAGCAGCCAGTATGTGTGTGTGTGTGTGGGGGGGGGGACTGAAGGCAAGTTGCTTGCTCTCCTTCCAGTGGTTGGCCTGGAAATATTTGGGGGAGCAGAGGAGTGGGGGTGAGACGCAGAGGCAGCACCCCGTCTTGCTTTAAAAATAAAAATTAAAAAAAGATGGGATCCCCGACATTTGCAAAGCGGGGGTCTCGTTCGTTCACTTCTCTTGACTTTTTTTGGGGAGAGGTCCTGACTTTTGCCCCCCCTCCCACCCCCATAAAGTCGTAGGATTGGGGCTGCAGCAGCTCGGTTCTCGGGGTTGAAACTATTTCGGGGCTGGGGAGAGTCTCCAAAGGAGCTTTTTGCTTGCGCAAGGCAGGCAGGCAGGCAGGCCAGGATCGCGCTTCTTGCGCGGGGGCCGAAACCCGACTTCTCCTCCCCCGCCTCTCCTAGGGGGAAGCCAAGGAGGGTCGTAAGAAGGCAGACAGAAGGACAGAGGCTGCTGAAAACACTCCTTTCTATTGAGTGGGTGGGGTGGGGTGGGCAAATGAAGAAACCCCCTTACAAAAAAGGCGTGTGTGTGGGGGGGAAGCGGAGGAGGGGGTCTCCACCCCTCCTCCCGGGCAGGAAGGGGGAGTTTTTAAATCCACGCCCTCTGCCCCTCCCCCCTGGAGCAGGAGCCCCTCCCTCCCATGTTGGCCCTCCCTCCCACTCCCACCTAACCAGGGAAGCTATCTCTGGTGCTATCCCGATTGGGACTTTCCCTGGGGGGGGGCATCTTTTGGGAGATCCGGTTGGCCCGGCCAGGTTCTTTCCGTGCGCCCGGGCCATTTAAAAAATAAAGAAATGAATGAATGAATGAATGAATGAATAAAAATGAATTTAAATAAAATAAAAAAATATATACAAGAAAGAAAATAAAGCAAAACAAAAATAAATAAATTAAAAAGAATAAAGAATAAGTTAAATAAATTAAATAAATAAATATTTTTTTAAAAAAAAGAAAAGAAAAATAAATAAATTAAATAAATAAATATAAGTAAATAAAATGAAAGAAAACAAAAATGAAGAAAAAAATGAAATATAAATAAAATAAAAAAAAATGAATTTAAGTAAATCAATAAATAAATGAAAATAAATTTAAATAAATCGATAAATGAAAATAAATAAATTTAAATAAATGAATGAATGAAAAATAATAAATAAATAAAATAAAATAAAATAAAATAAATAAATAAATAAATAAATAAACAAATAAATAAATAAATAAATTGACACCGCTAATAAAAAATAAATAAGAGAAAAACGAACATAAGACGCAGCAGCTTTTGGGGGGTCTCGACTGTCGCAACGCCTTTTAACGAAACGCCAAGGGTAACCCGGCTTTTATTCCGAAGTAAGCGAGGCTCCGGCCAGGTTTCTTCTCCGAACAGGTAGAAAGAGGGTGGTTTTTTGGTTTTTTTTTTTTGCGTGGGGTGGGTGGCGCCGCTTACCTGGGGAGCAAACCCTACACCCCCCACACCCACACCTAGGAATCGTGGCTTAGAGAGGCTCGCCTCTCTCCCATCTATCTCATCGGGCGCCGGTCCGGTTTGCGCGGTATCCTGGGAGGAAAGCCGGATCCCGCTGCGCTCGAAGGACCCAAGCCGGGGTCGGTCGGTCCGGGAAGGGCCGGGGAGGGGTCTGGGGGGGGGCGACCAGTCCAGCCTCGTAGGAAAACCCCGTCTCTCAACCCCGCTTCCCGGAGCTCCGCGTTCTCCCCCGAACGCCAAACAATAAAGCGTGCAAAGCGGAAGGCAGCTGGTTTTGCACGCGAGCGAGCCCTGAGTGTGTGTGTGTGTGTGTGTGAAGGAAGGGGGGATTTCCCCCTGCGGAGAACAGCGAAGAAAGTGCCAAAAGCTTCGCGGGGGTGGGGGTCCCCCCCTTTCCTCCCCTTCTTTCTCTCTCTCTCTCTGTCTCCCTCTCTCTCTTTCTCTCTCTCTCTGTATGTGTCTCTCTTTCTCTCTCGGTGTCTCGGCCTCCCTCTCTCTCTTTCTCTCTCTCTTTTCCTATATGTGTCTCTCTTTCTCTCTCGGTGTCTCTTTCTATCTCTTTCTCTCTCTCTCTTTCTTTCTCTCTCTCTCTCGTCTCTCTCTTTCTCTCTCTCTCTCTCGCCCCCTCTCCTCCGGTGATTTTTTTAAAAAAATTATTTATCAATCAGCGGGTCCGGCTGCCATTCAGTTGGCTTCCCCAGACAGGAAGTTCTCCCCTTTGATGCGGGGGGGGGGGGAAGGGAGAGGTGGGGGGAGGGATCGAAAGACAATTATTTGCGTTGTTCAACTTGGCTTTTCAAGACTGTAACTTTCGGTGGTCAAGAAGGTGGAGTGGAAGCGAAGGGAGCTTGGGGAGGGAGGGGGGGGCGGAGAAGTGGGGGGAGGGAGCCAGCCAGCCAGCCAGCGGAAGGCGTCTACTCGCAGCTCCCTTTCCGATAGGAATCTGGGACAGGTTTTGCCAACAGCCAGCAGCGCGGGGCCCTTTGGTAATAAAATAGCCCATGTAATTTGACACTTCAACTTGCTGGGCTTCTCTCTGCCGAGTTGATTCACTTTTATTCTTTCTACTAACGCGGTGCTCTTTTATTTATTTATTTTCCTTGCCCCCTCTCCTCCCCTTTGGCTGGGTGAAGGCTGAGGTTGGTTGGTTGTTGCTTCTTTTTTTTTTTTTTTTTAAAAATCCTAATTATTCTTTTTTTTTTAAACAAAAAAAAAATCTCATTATTTTCTCCCTTCGCCTCTTCCTCCCCCGGAAAAAGCAAGGGAATAAGACACACAGACAGACACACACACAAAACTTCACCTCCCCCCCTCCCCCCCAGCCGCGCCGGACCGCACGACCTGCAATCCGCAGGGCGAGGAAAAAAGGGGAGGGTGGAAGAAACGACAATATTGGGAGGTTTTTTTTCCCCCTCCTTCTTCTTTCCATGCCGTTTCTCCCTTTTTGGCCTTTGGATGTTTTTTGTGTTTTTTTCAAATCCTTTCCTTTGCCCGCCGGCTTCCCTATGCGTTTCTTGCCCGCCGGTCGCCCCAGTTGCTCAGCGTCTCCGAGCGCCGAAGCTTAAGGGTAAGTTTTTGCGTCCTGGGGTCCCGGCAGTCCTTCCGTTTTTTTTGGGGGGGGGGTAGGTAAGTGGGTGGGTGGGTTTCCCCCTCCCTCAGGCCGGGGGGGCTTTGCAAAGAAACAATGGGAAGCCCCCGAGAGGCGAAACGGAGGAGAGGAGGGCAGGCGGGCTTGGATGGAGCTGGCGAGCGGTTGGGCTTTGGGTAGTCAGCTTGCAAAAAGAACGGGGGCCTCTCACAGTCTCCAGCGACGGTCTCTTGCCAGCGGTAGAGTGTGGGAAGACTTCTTAAAGGGGCCGGGGTGCTTTTCGGGAATCGTTGAAGGCGCGCGCGCTGGGGGGGGGGGGGGGGGGGGGGGGGGAGCCCGGGGGGCCCCGGGGGGGGGGGGGGGGGGGGGTGAGAGAGAAAGAGGGATGCGCTTAATTGATTGGCCTGAGAGATTAAATAAGTTGCTGCTTATTTTTCTTTCTTTTCTTTCCCTTTTTTGGCCCCCGCGGTGGCCAAGAGAGGTGGGTGGGATGGGTTGAGAGAGAGAGAGAACCAGGTGTTTTATTTGGTTATATATTATATATATTTTATTTGGTTATATATTATATATATAAAATAAGAATAGTAATCCCTACGGGGAGGGAGAAGACGCGGAAGCGTGCAAGGACAATAAATAATCAATAAACCCGGGCAAGAATAAATCTGCGTTCCCTCCTGATCGATCCGCCAGAGGGGTTTCTTTTGTCTATGTGTGTGTGTGTTGTGTTTGTGGATCTGAAGTTTGGAGGAGCCGCAACAAGGTTGCCTTTTGCAAGGGAAGCAACAACAACAACAAAAAGCCAAAAAAAAAAAAAAAAAAAAGCAGAGCGCGAGGCTCGGTTGTGGCATTAAAACCAAACAAAAACCAAACAAAAAACTAAGGTTTAAAAATAAAGCTGCTGGTTTGGCTGGTGGGACTGAGGGTGCAGGCGTGTTTCCAACCCCCCCCCCCCGCCCAAACCCTTTGCTTTTCCTGGCTCTCCCACCCCTCCCCTTCAACCCCCTCCCCTCCCGGCTCCTGACCCGGCTTTCCACTCCGGCAAAAAGCGCTTTTTCCTAAAAAAACAAAACGGCGCCTTTGTGGATCGGGGGGTGGGGGCGCGTGGAAAGGATGTGTGAGCGGCGGGGAAGAAGAGCCGGTTGGGAAGGAAGAACCAGGCTTGGGAATTGAGGCCTCGCTAGCTAAGGCTGGAGTGTGGGAGGGAGAGTGGGGGGAGGGAAGGGCTTGGAATAGCCGCCCCCTCCCCTCGTACATCTGTCCAAGAAGGCCAGGAGAAGGGGGAGCGCAGGGAAAGGGCCTCTGTGTGTGTGTGAGAGAGAGAGAGGGGGAGAGAGAGAGAGAGAGAGAAAGGGAGAAAGAGAGAGAGAGAGAAAGAGAGAGAGACAGAGGGAGAAAAAGACACAGAGACAGAGGCAGAGAGATAGAGAGACAGAGAGAGGGTGGAGAGAGAGAGAGAGAGAGAGATTAAAATGGGGAGTATGAGGAGGGTCTCTCCCTCCTTCCTCTCTCTGGGTGGAATGTTAGCCGGTAAAATTAAAAATAAAGCAGAAGGACGCAATCGTCCAGCAATGCCAGCAGTTTAAACAGGAGCTTGGGGTTCCTGCCTTAACCCTGGAGAAAGTCTCCAAGGCTGATTTAGAAACAGGGGGAGGGGAGGGGAAGGAGAGGGTGGGGAGGGGGCGGGAATGGGGAATCCAAAGTATTTTGTTTCTTCTGTCCTGCAAACTTTTTTGGGAGGGGTGGGAGGAGGTGTGATATTCTTTGCCTGGAAGCCCCCACATGGGAAGGAGCAGGAGAAGGAAGGAAGAAGGCTTCCATTTCAGAACTACCCCCCCCCTCCTTTCCAAAAGACACCCCCCACCCCTTCCTCTTGAATTAGAAGCGGTGATTAAACATGGGCCTAGGGAAAAGGGAGGAAGGGGGATTGGGAAGCTCAGCCTGGCCCTCAGGGTAGGACGTTTGACTTGGCTCACACAGAGAGAGAGAGAGAGGTTGGCTTGGAAGTCTGGCGTCCCCTATCATCCCTGGGAGTTGTGTGTGTTTGGGGGCGTGCACGTGTCTCCTACAAACAGACAGATGGACAAAACTGGAATTACTGATCTGATCTCTTAAATGATGTTCTGGGGCCAGAAGAACTGACTCTAATGTGACACTGGGTGTTCTTCAATATTTCTCTCTCTCTCTCTCTCTCTGTCTCTGTCTCTCTCTCTCTCTCTCTATCTAACTATCTAACTATCTATATCTGTTTCTCTGTGTGTGTATCCCTCCCTCCCTCCCTCTCTCTGTATGTCTCTGTCTCTGTCTCTCTCTCTCTATTTCTCTCTCTGTGTGTCACTCCCTCCCTCTCTCTGTCTGTCTCTCCCTTTCTCTCTCTCCCCTCTCCCCTCCCCCCTCCTTTCATCCCCCCCTCCCCCTTGACATGAGAGTGAAGGATTTAACTTGGCAGGTTGAACAAATGCCCTCTGAAAGGTTTCCAAGAGACAGTAAGAAAGCAGGAACAGGATTGAAAGGCTCATGAATGCCTGCGAGAATGGACTGAGCTTTCTTTTGGGGGAGGGTTGGGGGGGGGGAAATGAAGGGGGTTTTTTTTTTTTTTTTTTGAACCCTGAAAGGGCAGGGGGGGGCTTGGGGGGGGGGGGAGGGCGCAATCCAGTGGGACTGAGAGACCCTCTGAAAGGGCAAAAAGCTTTGGAGTCCCAAGGCTGCCTGGATAGATGAGGAAGAGGGGGGCCTGGGGAGGGGGCTGGAGAAGGATGCCTGGATTTGCAATGGGCTCTTGGCTCTTAGAAACTGGAAAGGTTAATGGTGGCATGATTATATGCTAGCATTAGGGGGAAGGGGGTTTGCAAGAGGAGATTAGGGCCAGGCTGGGTGGGCTCCCTTGGGTGTAGCCTCTAAAAGGGTCAGAGTCAGACCAGGGTGGGGGGGATTCAAGGGGGAGGGGAGCCCAGCTCCTCACTCACTGGATTAGATGATGGTTTTCCTGGCCTTTGTCCATTTGCACAAAAAAAAACAAAAAACCCGCTGTCTTTTTCTCACCCGAGGAGCCTTAACCAGGGAGAAGCAATATTGGGGCCTGGCCTGGAACTTAACGAGCATCATAAATTAAACCGAAGTCAGATCTTGGCTTAAAGGTGGCTGTAAGGGAATGCAGGCCTGTAACATTTCCATTTCCATTTGTCAGTGCAAAAAGGCCTGGACAACCAACAGACCACACAACAAGGTGGCTGGAAGGTTGGGGTGGAACTGGTTTTAAAAGTTCAACATTTTAGGGAAAGAAAAGGTGGTATGATGAAAATCCAGCCCTTTCCCTATTTTTTTTTCCCTTTGGGGTCTGTGTGTGTGGAAAGAAGCTGCATCTGGTTATCATAACATTTGTGTCATTCCTTAAAAGAGCTCCAAGAAGCCTTGTAGACTTGGTAAGGAGCGACTGGAAGAACAGGAAAGTTCTTCCAACCTCCAAACACAACTCCCAAATTCATTCAATACAGGGCATCCTGCACATACGACCGCAGTTGAGCCGGCACTTCTGTTACTAAATGAGATGGCGGCTAAGTGAGTTTTGCCCCATTTTACAAAACTTCCTTGCCACCGTTTGTTAGGCGAATCCCTGCAGTTGTCCAGTTAGTCACACGGTGGTTGTCAATCTGGTTTTCCCATTGAAGGTTGCCCAAGGGGGGGGGAATCCCATGATTCCATCATAAATATGAACCAGTTGCAAAGCATCTGGATTTCAATCACGTGACCACTTGGGGATGGGGTAACGGACGTTAAGTGTGAGAACAGAAGGGGGAGTATTCAGACGGTTCGGACCAGTTCTCATAAACCGGTTGTGGAAATTTTGAATAGAGGAGCATGCTCTCCGAACCAGTAGGGGGAAAAAATGGAAACCCACCACTGCTTGAGAAATAACAACCTATAACTGAGAAGTGCAACTGCAAGGAGACTCCATTGGCAAACTTCTGCTGGCGTGGTGGTTGGTTCTGCAAATTGGAAGCTCATCTTGCAACGTTGGTGCCCACTTCAACTTCTCTCTCTCTCTCTCTCTCTCTCTCTCTCTCTCTCTCTCTCCCTCCCTCTCCCTCTCCCTCTCCCTCTCCCTCTCCCCCCCACTTCCTCCATGCTGCCTACTCTTCAACACCAGTCTTTTTTTAGTTAGGGGACTTGAGGTTAAAACATACAATGGACGGTTGCAGGAACTGGGCATGGATAGTCTAGTGAAGAGAAGGACCAGGGGAGACAGGAGAGCAGGGTTCTAATATCTGTGGGGCTGCCACAGAGAGGAAGGGGTCAAGCTGTTCTCCAAGGCACCCGAAGGCCAGACAAGAAACAATGGACAGAAACTGATCAAGGAGAGATTCAACCTAGAAATAATATATTTTCTGACCATGAGAACAATCAACCGATGGAACAGAAGTTGCCCTCGGAAGTTGTGGGAGCTTCATCACTGGAGGCTTTCAAGAAGAGACTGGACTGCCATCTGTCAGAAATGGTGTAGGGTCTCCTGCTTGGGCTGGGGGTTGGACTAGATGACCTACAAGGTCCCTTCCAACTCTGTTAATCTGTTAAATATAGTAACATCAAACCTCAACTTTTTACTTTTACATAGTAAGGTAAACTAGCCATTTCTGCAGCAACAAACTATCTAATCCACAAAACCCAAAATCAAAGTTTCATTTTGTCCCCACTCTCACCCCAAGTGTAAAGTCCAGAAGCTGTTTCCAAGTAGAAACAAAAGTAATTGTGTTTTTTTTCCTTTAATCAAAGCAGTCAATTTACCCAGACAGTTAGCAGAGATGGCAATTTTCGGATAGGGTTCTGAAGATGCCTTGTTGTTGTCTTCTTTTTGGGCTGGGGGGAAGGGGGGGTTGGACTAGATGACCTGCAAGATCCCTTCCAACTTTGTTATTCTGTTAGGATTGATCTCCTGTTAGGGCCTGATTCAGATGTATGAAAGCCAGGAGGGATCAGGGATGACC